CATCTTAATAACAACAAATGCAAGTGATTACCAACACGGAAGAGAGAATCTGTGTTTTTATTTTACAACAAAAGGCTGTCCTATAGGGACTTTTCAACATAAACTAACAAACCTGCGCACACGTGAATGTGCTTTAGAGCTTGGCACAGAGAGTAAAAAACAAAGCCTCTGCTGCTTTAAGGACAATGTATTTTTTTGTATTAGCTTAAGAGAACAAGAAAGCTGTCAAAAGAGCTGGTATAGTTTTTCACAATCCCACAGAATTCATCTTGACCACAAGGAAATATCCGAAAACTGCATCAGAAAGATAGCATAGATCTTGTTTCCGAAAAAAAAAGAAAGCAATTGAGTCATTGAGTCAAATCGGAATACAATACATTTTCTGGCATCGCCACTGAATATTTATATCACTGATGAATGAGACTACAAACGAAATATTTTAACATGAAGCTTTGCCTTGTTAACTGCATGATATGCCAAAACACCACCTACTGTAAATCACAGGGTTTAAGACCAGTATTTCTTGTTTAAACATGCTACTTGTTCAGCAGAATCACTTGTGTGAACAAGCATACATTAATGTACACTAACTAGAGCAGTTTCTCTACCCAACTGATAGAGTGTAATTTAACAAGCTTGTTATCAGCACTGTAATTTTCAGGCTGCTGAAATATCATATTTGTTGCAAATATTATATGGTTTAAATACTTTAACAACACTACCCATTTGACGCTTCTGTCAGATAAAATGCAGATAGGCACTTGTGCATTGATGAACGTGCTTTTAATTCTACAAAGAAACTTTCTCTGTCAAATTCTAGGTGTTTCAACAGTTGATTTATGAACACCATAATTAAAATCGTTATGCCTTAAAGAAAAACAAACTCTTCATTAAAACAACAGCTTTCTTTCACGTTTTTGTCTTTTAATATTCAGAGTTTGCTTTTATATGCCTGCTATTAGTTATCAGTTTGACATGTCATTCCTGGCTGTCAAGACAGGAGAATATTTCTCTTTATAACCTGGTCAAACCTCAAAGTCGGTAAGCACCCAAAGGGATCAATGTTTATTTCTCAATGTTTATTTCCAGCTTCCACAAAGCATTTGTAGGAAAAAAGAAAAACCTGCTAATTTAACTGGTATAGGACCACCATCACACAAACCAGTGCTTTCAATTTCTAGGAAGGCCAGAAATGCTGTAATGTCTGCTGCCTTCTATGAACTGACAGAACCAAGAATATGGAGAGATACAATTAGAG